AAATCATACCTATTAAGCTATTAGTCTTAACTATAAATGAATAAACGACCTTTTATATACTTTTTTCGTAAATCTCTGAAAATTTAATTACTATGCATCATTTAAAACAAAAGAATCTCAACATATAACGGAATGCGCATATTTTTCAAACCTGAAGCAAAGTCACGGAAGACTCAGACGCCTTCCATGACGTCACTCTGTAGGGTAAAATCCTAGTATACGGAGCAGGCTTGTCGCGACTTTGAAAATTATCGCCAACACCAAAAAATGATCCAAAGAACATCTATATATATATATATGCTATACACTATATACTATGTGTGTATATACATAGTATACACTATGTGTGTATATACATAGTATACTATACACTATATACATAGTTTATAGTTACTATGTTTAACTATATATTTTCTTTGAATGACCCGTTAACTACTCATCGTATATGTCCCGTTCTTACTGCTCATCATAAAGTCGCCCAAAGTAGCCAAATCCCGTGTGCACCGGATACTAGGATTAAACCAAACAATATTCTCCACGATGTCCGAGCGTTAAATAATCGCAGATATGTATCCGTATCAATCTTGCCTTTTTTTTAAGCAAGAAGAAAGAAGATGAGGACTTTGGCGAAAGCCCTTTCCTCTAAACCGTGAGGATAATCGCAGATAACAGTGTTATGAATTATGTGTTTAAATAGTTAATTTTAGTAGAATTATAATTAAAATTGTTGTATTTCCTCGTGCAATGTAAAGCGAGACAAATTTTAAGAGAAGGGCATGCCGGAAAAGTAAGAATACAGGGTCACGTGCATTTAACTTTAAGTTAATTAATATCGCGGTAATTTGTATTGAAACTGAATAAATGTAATTGACTACTATTAGCTGTAAACGTAATTCCAGAAATTTACAATTGTTTATATTGCGTTTGCAAATGACATGGGTTACCATATCCTATTATTTATCGCTTTGCTTGGCGATATTTTTTGGTGAAAAGTCCCGATGGGCTATACTCTAGGATTATTTAATTATGGCAAAGCACACGAGGGCTATCTGCCTAAAGGGAGGGATGCCTTCGTGGAGGACTTTCTAAGAGAAACTGGCTCGTATACACGTTGCACATGGGGAAAACCACGAAAATGCCCATGCAGTCAGCCCGTTCGCGGGATTCGAACCTCGGACCGAACTACCAGTGTTCAGCGTCTTTACCGCTCGGCCACCGGTGGGCCAAGGATGTAGTCTAAAGGATACCCAAAATTACAAATGTTTTTTAAAATTTAGCGTTTTCCTGCTTCTAAATTTCGGATAAAAAATTTCACCTTTTAAAATTTAATAGTTTTCATCGCAAATATTTATTATGCTTACAATTTTCAATTTGCTATGAGCTCAAAAAGATACTTAGTTTCTTTTCTAAGAAAAAAATATTTTTCCAAGTGCGAAAATTAGTCAAAATCGGCATTATATGCAATTATATATTCGAAAAGAAATCATTTGGTCATGCAATGTTCCGGCACCAAGTCGGCCGTGATAATGTATTTCAGGTATTATTAATTGAATTGTGCAACCAGAAAGCGATTTAAAAAACATAATTTTCCGGTTTGTTTATGCGTATTATTTTTGTAAATAAATTGTTTGTAAAATTGACGAAATAAAATAATAAATAGAATTTTACATTTTGTTTAATGAACTACCTTAATAAATACAAACCTATGCTAAATTGCATATTAAATAATTTATGTGCACATTAAATAAGGTACTTTTCCGTTTTGCCGGCGCAAGCGATAAAGTCGCCAATAACGGTACAACTGATGCCAAACGGAATATTCTCGCTGGTAACCTTTTACACATCATTTTCAAAACAAGTCGCAGCTTTTTCTTATCAGACTGGTTGTTTCTTACAATACTGGCATATAGAATACATAGAATTTTTGTCAGATAGTTCAGTTTATGTCTAAGGCCACTTTCGGTAATTAAGTCAATTGGAATGCAATCACAGCGCTTATCCGAAGCCGAAAATATAGAAAAGGTAAAGTCAAGGGTTAAAATTCATTCATTCTAATGAGAATGCATTAGCGAAGTAAGCACTGCAGTTTTACATAACTTCTGAGTAAGCTATTCGTACGAATTGAAATATTTCTTGCATTTAAACTTGTGTTCCAAATTAAGATTTAACTTGAAATGAATGTAGATAATTACTGAGAGCATTAGATTTTTGTAGAGTAGTTTACGTGAGATGAGATCGCTTTGGAGTCACATGATATGAACCGGCGAATGTTGAACCATGAAAGCATAGTAAATTCTTAATTAATGTCTTTTTACAAATTTATTTTCTTTATTTATTGGCTTTTTATAAAATTTTAAGCGATATTAAAATGTTTACGCCTTCTTTTTTTAAAAGAATTCTTAGAACTAATATTTTTTTAATATTTTTTATGTGTATACTGTATGTTGTCGCCAATAAAGTCTGCTTGGCGAGATTTGCGCCGGCGAAACGGAATTTACTGAATTTACGGCAATTTACTGAAACGGAATTTACGGCAATTTACTGAATATCTAAACAACATAAAATAATTTATATTGTTTAGATATTCAGTAAATTGGCTTAGTCCTAACATACGGTGCTCACGGGATTTGGTGACTTTTGATGACTTCAAATTTTACATTCTTTATCAGTGGTTTTGGCAAAATTTGTGAGGTTAGTACTTTTTTTGGTACTTTTCCGTTTTGCCGGCGCATTAAGTGGCCAAGTCGCCAAATGGTACAACTGATGTCAAACGGAATATTCTCGTTGCTAGTAACCTTTTACGCCGCATTTTCAAAACAAGTCGCAACCATTTCTTTATTCAGATTGATTGTTTCTTTCAATACTGGCATATAATTACATAGAATTTTTATCAAGATAGTTAAATTTTATGCCCTAAGGCCATTGATTCGCAGTAATTAAGTCAATTCAGGAATGCAATCACACTGCTCACCCGAAAGCAAAAATATAGAAAAGACAAAATCAATGGGTTAAATTCATCAATTCTAATGAGTATGCACTAGCGAAGTAAAGCACTGCGGTTTTACATAATTTCTGAGTAAGCTATTCGTACGAATTGAAATAATTTCTTGCATTTAAACTTGTATTTCCAAATTAAGATTTAGCTTGAAATTAATGTAGATAATTACTGAGAGCATTAGATTTTTGTAGTGTAGTTTACGTGAGATGAGATCGCTTGGGGTCACGTGATATGAACCGGCGAATCAGGATGTTGAACCATGAAAGCATAGTAAATTCTTAAATTAATGTCTTTTTACAAATTTATTGCCTTAATTTATTGGCTTTTTATAAAATTTTGAGCAATATTAAAATGTTTATGCCTTCAAAAAAAAAAAAAAAAAAAAAAAAAAAGAACTCTTAGAACTAACATTTTTTAAAAATATTTTTTATGTGTATACTGTATGTTGTCGCCAATAAAGTCTGCTTGGCGAGATTTGCGCCGGCCAAACGGAAAAGTACCCTTTTTTTTGGCTGAGTTGTTATTGTATGGCTGTTTTACATTTATGAGCTTGACTGATTTTAGTTTTAGCAATATATAGCGATTTTTTTCCTGCCTTGATAACGGTATATTTTTATGACGATAAACGCGTCATTTCTATGTTGGCGACAATTTTCAAAATGGCGCCAAAGCCGTACCCTATACTAGCATTTTACCAATAAATTTTCATTTACTTTAGTCAAGTTCATTTTCATGAATATTTTCATGTTTAACAACAAATTGCGCTTTATTAAGCCCGGATTGCGGCTATGGAAGACAAGTGGCAATTTTTTGTTCAATATAGGCAGTTTGATTTAGGCTTAGGCTTAGGCTTAATCCTAGTATACGGTACACATGGTATTTGGTGTCTTTTGGAGACATTATGATGAGCAGTGAAGGCAGTATTTATGATGAGCAGTGAAAGCAGTATTTATGATGAGCAATAAACGAGTCATTTTGGTGTTGGCGACAATTTTCAAAACCGTGCCAAGGTTATACCCTATACTAGGATTTACTTAGGTTTGAATTCAAGCGAACAATCTCGGATGCTTGGGTATCTTCATGGTTTATCTACATATAACATGAAAACGAACCTGTTGTCCTTAACAAGTCCTTCAAGAAGCCATTCTTCTTTTAGATATTTTGCTGCATGAAATAGAAGAAAGGGTCCACTCATACTGTAAAATCGAGTTTCAAATTGCAAAACATTTAAGGAAAAACTTTTATTTGAAACTAAAAAGGATGTTTAATATAAGATAAACAAGTCCTACGAACAGTCAGCTGCAATCTAAACTTATAAAACTAAAACAGAATTACAAAATAGTTGTTACAGTTTTTGTTGCCAGATTCCTACACTTGAATAAGTAAAGGCTTAGAAACAGCATTTCTAACACACATGTTTGCTTGATAAATGTACACATACACTTATGTGACAAATTTCCTGCATTTGCAAGCCGTTTGTAAAAATTTACTTTTTACAAACGGCTTTTTAATTTTAACTATTTATTGGAAATATGCGCTGCATTTAATAAAGGCCTAATTCCCAATTAATACTATTAATGCTTGTACTTTTGAAAAATTTTATGTGAAAACCTAAAAAGTTTTTGTAATTTGTCTTTTAGCTGAAGCAAGTTATTTAAATGACAGGCTAAATATTTAATATGTAGCAGTTAGTACGTTTGAATTACAAAGCGTTATTAAGAGAAATGTATTCTAGATACCAACCTTTAGTTTGTAAATGGAAAATAAATATAAATTCGAATATTTTCAAATGTGTTATCGTTCTTATGGTTGCTTATGTATATATTGATAAACACACAGAAGATAAAATTTAAAATTTAGTTAAAAACTTTTATTAAAATAGTTTTTTTTTTCATCAAAAAATTTCTAACCCATCAACTGGTTTCAAAACTCGCATTCGGCCCGCATGCATTTGAATTTAAGATTACTGAAATAAGCTATCACGTTTCTAGCTCGTTTAGTTTAACTATCTTAGCTTGTCTCTATATTAATATTTTTAACAAGAGTTACAAAGTCAATGAAAATTTAGCCTAGCAATTAAAAGCTGTTCCATAAACACGGATACTTGTGCAGATTTAATGTGCATTTGTGGGTGAGTTCTTACTTCCTTTTCACACTTTTCCTTTCTCAGAGGAAAAACTGTTGATTCTATGATTGAGGATGTAGATCTTAATTTTAAGAATCATTACTGAGCGTAATGAAGAATTTTTTTTTTTGATAAATACAATCTTTATGAGCTTTATTTAAATACTTTTCAGATGCACAGGAACAACTGTCTTATTTTATTTAATTGGCAATTATTTGTAAAATTAAAAAGAAAATACATCCTTTTCCATAAACCATAATAGTCGCATCAATTAGTTAACTTAATACTCATGCAAAAGTGAAAATATTTCGTTTTGTCATTCATCTAATTAGTGGTTTGCCTAGGTGTAAAATAACAATTCAATCATATTCATGAAGATTGTGCCTGTTGTTGGCAAGAGCCTTGAAAACCATGCAGGTGACAGTACAATTTTGCTCAGCCCCCTACCCAATTTCGATGAAGAGCTCCCCGTGGGAAGGCGGATAATAGCACATGAACCATCCAGTCCATGGAAAGGTAGGAAGTAACCTCCTTTCCTACCTCCATGATCCAGTCACGGGGGAAGAAAAAAACCGTCATTACCGAGCTTCGACACGATGAAATGTAAACAAAACGAGCGCGGAATAGCAATGCAATAGGGTTGCCGTAAACGTCATTCCGCTGACAGCTAACACTGTTTAGTGAAAACTGTGTATAAAGGAATATATGAAACGCTTCTAAATATTATTTAGAAAAAAAATATGATATATAACTGATATCAAAATCAATTACTTCGTGAATTTTTGCAGAAATAAGATTACAATGCTAAATTTTAACTCGTAGCGCTATCTATTGATGACTTTCCAAACTACACATTAAAATTACGTATTTCAAACTAATTTTTTTTAAAATATAATATTTAAGTAAATTTCATTCCAAACCTGATTCTAACATTTTGATTCCAAAAATCACCTATTGCTTTATATTTCTGCCAAATTTCACGCAACATAGTTTCTTAATTATCGATTCTGCGTGTAAACAAATTTTTAGTATTGTAATGCTGCTGTAGTAGACCACCTTAAAGTATGCGCTGCAGAATGGGGCTACAAAGGAAGAAATTGGGGTAAAATTTCTTCGAGAATATAGTTTATTCAGAAAAATCTCTGAAAAGCTCTGAATATATTATTAAAGCGATTTCGGTACTTTTCCGTTTTGCCGGCGCAAGCGATAAAGTCGCCAGTAATGGTACAACCGATGCCAAACGGAATATTCTCGCTGGTAACCTTTTACGCCTCATTTTCAAAACAAGTCGCAGCTTTTTCCTATCAGATTGATTGTTTCTTTCAATACTGGCACATTATTTTATAGAATTTTTATCAGATAGTTGAGTTTTATGTCTAAGGCCATTTTCGGTAATTAAATCAATTAGGATGCAATCATAGCGCTTACCCGAAGCCGAAAATATAGAAAAGGTAAAGTCAAGGGTTAAATTCATTAATTCTAATGAGAATGCATTAGCGAAGTAAAGCACTGCAGTTTTACATAATTTCTGAGTAAGCTATTCGTACGAATTGAAATATTTCTTGCATTTAAACTTGTGTTCCAAATTAAGATTTAACTTGAAATTAATGTAGAATGTAGATAATTACTGAGAGCATTAGATTTTTGTACAGTAGTTTACGTGAGATGAGATCGCTTGGGTCACGTGATATGAACCGGCGAATCAGGATGTTGAACCATGAAACATAGTAAATTCTTAAATTAATATCTTTTTATAAATTTATTGTCTTTATTTATAGGCTTTTTATAAAATTTTAAGCGATATTTAAATGTTTATGCCTTCAAAAAAAGAATTCTTAGAACTAACATTTTTTTAATATTTTTTGTGTGTATACTGTATGTTGTCCCCAATAAAGTCTGCTTGGCGAGATTTGCGCCGGCGAAACGGAAAAGTACCGCGATTTCTATGAAATTTAGGAAGGGGACAATGCTACGAATTCTGCATTATATAAAATGAAAAGTCTGAAGATTCAAAGCTCTACCGGAAAAATAAGATTAAAGAGTCAAGTCTATTTAACACTGATTTTTAGTAAATGGCTATCTCGCTAATTTGGCAAGATATCCTTAAATTTGTGATGTCACCGAATTTGGCGAAAAATCGCCAAAAGTCATCAAACTTGACTACCATATTTTGGTCCAGTCGCTATATAACTGTAACTGGTACTGTAACTGAAAAATACAATTGATCCCTATATGTAATTGTAACAGTTTCCGGCCCTTATATGTAACGTTAACCGTATGTGCCTATCAGTAATTTGGAAATATGGTATTGGAGGTATCATACTAAAAAGTACTGGATATTTCTCAGCGACCGTGGAAAAAATATATAGGACCGGAGACAAAATTAGTTTCTCAGTTGTTAGTTTAGCGTTGAACTCGGAGTACTGAGAGATGTCCTCGAGAATTTCGACTTTTAGACGTGCTTCGCACTGCGCTGTGTTTAACACTTTCAGTAGGTTTCTTAAGGCGTAACATTCTTAGTAGGTAGTGTAATTTCTGACTGTATTCAATGATGCTGAGAAGAGATGTACGAGTGTTTTCGTGGAAAGTTTCAGAACTTTAAAGCGTTTGTTTTGGTAAAATAAATTCATCATGTTATAACTTGTCCTGAGTGCATTCAATCTATTACAGTGCATTATTCAATCCAACCGTAGGCTGCAACATCATGTTGTGAAGTAAGTTCATTTCGATCAGAATTTTAAGTTTATGTAACTCTCAGGCTCACGTGTTGATAAATAATCTTTATTTTACAACTTCATGGGTTGAGATTACTGTGGTTAGAAGGTAAAGGGAACCATAATGTGTCTCTACGGTTAAACTAGATTTGGCGCTTTAAAGAATTGAAAAACTGTGTTAAATTATTGTATACCAAAGGAAAAAATTCTTTTATTTTTGGTAATTGGAAAATGAAGTGCATAAATAGGGAATTAAAAAGTACACATAAAATAAAATAAAAATATACCAATTTTTACTTGTACGAAGTAAAGGAAGTGTTGTAACCGCGAACATTTTCGGGTATCATATTTCAACGAAAATATCCATTTTGACAGCTATCGAATGCAATTTAACGATGATTTTGCATGACATCTGTACGCTAGGACAGAATAAAGGACTTTTTCTCAAAACGGGTTGCAGAAAGGCTTTAAAATGGATTCAGAAGAGATTTTTAGTGACGTTTCTATGTACGTATGTAAGCATGTATCTCGCATTGCTCAAAAATGATTAAACTCAGAACGTTGAAATTTTGCATCTAGGACTGCTATAACATGCAGTTGTGCATCTTCCTTTTTGGTTGCAATCGACCGCAACCAAAAGTATATATATACCCACTCTGTTACTCGGCTTCGTGACTTCAGTTTTTTTATTCTTATATGTTGTTAAATTGTGCATTTTTTGCTTTAAAATAATTGAATTATGTTGTTCTTATCTTCCAGTTAAGGTTTTTTGCCTTTAGTTAATCTGCATGCAATAGTTGTAGAATTACCAACAATTTAAAATTTGTGTAAGTGCGGCTAAGCCTAATATTTTTACCACAGCAGCCATATTTGTTTACATTAGAAACTTAGCAAAATAGTGAATTAAGCCTTTTTGCACCACTTTTTTTTTTGCAGAGTAGGACGAAAAGTAAACTTTCAGTTTTGTGCACCGAAAAGTCTGCGTTCCTGCACACTATCCGAACTGCTTGTTTTTCCGTAAAAACTCTAATTTTTAATTGTAAAAATTTTGTTTATTGTTTTAACTGTGTAGAGAGAGACATTAGGGTGTTTGGAAAAGCCGGAAACATGAAAAATGAGCAATTGCCTTCGCCGGGACTCGAACCACGGACCTCTGGAATAAGCTCCGAGCGTGCTAACCACTACACTACAAAGACATGCTAAGAAGGCGGGAGAAATACCTTATATACTGTCCCTTTTAAAGAGCGACTGCGGTTTTCAGGAGACTCAATCGCCAAATCCTGAGTGAGGAGAATCATCATCCAACACCCTTTTTAGTTAGGGCGCCACTGTAGAGACATTAGGATGTTTTTGAAAGCAGGCAAGAGGTGAAAAATATGCAACGCCTTCGCCGGGAATCGAACCACGGACCTCTGGAATACCTGCCCAGCGTGCAGACCACCACACCACGAAGGCATGCGAAGAAGGCGGGAGAAATACCTTATAACTGTATTTGGTGTTTTATTTTTTTTTCTATATTTTTAAATTTTTAATGAAGATAATTTGAGGTTTTATGTATTTTTGCCGCGAACTGAGAATAGAATTAATTGAATGAGAAATACGTCTTTAATGAAATTCGAGGAAATAAGTTAAATGAAATGCAACAAAAATTGCGTATAATTTAATATTCCGTACAAGGAAGTCATGCTGTGTATACATCAGATTTTTATATTTATTCTTTCATTAGAAAACAATTGGGACCAACCTGAGAGAAAATAAAAGTTAAATTGGTTAATTCATTTTTGCTACCTTTGATTGATTAATTAAATCATACAAGGACTTGCTGTTAATAAACAGAAAATATTCAGTTCCAAAAATTAGTCTTTCTTTCCATGCGAAGAAAGATAGCATTTCTGATTTAGAAGTTTATACCTGAAAGAAATAAATTTAAGCAGAAAAAAACAACGTCCTTTAAACCTTTTGGGAGGCAATTTTTTTCGATTTACTAGTTTTCCTGCTGATAAAAGAGACAATAATCTTTCATGCTCGTTTAACACCCCTCCCCCCAAAAAAGTGTATGTTTCTAATATCACTAAAAGAAAATATACTCAATTATCGTTATTTGAAGTGTGCTTGCAATATGATCAATACCATATTTTGCATTTTCATTGCCTTATAAAAAGTTTTTCATTTTCTAGACAACTTTGATAGGTTCACGAGATAAAAGTAAAATACGTCTAAAGTGCGGAGCCATTCCGCCCCATCTTCAAATCAATTAAATAAATAAAGAAAAAAAAATGATATCCAATTAAT